GAAACTAACGATTTTAAATTGGCTCACCACTTTAGTAGCCTATTGGTCCCAAGCAAACGATTAACGTACCCTATTCTAGTCGAAATTCTAGTACTACGCAATGTTTGTTTTGATTCGCTATGAAAGTTTGACAGATAAAATGAGGGGTTATTGGTTTTTCCTATGTTTCGAGGGGTGATTCGACAAGCTTGGGACCGAAGATAGTACCAAAGGTGAGCCAAAAAGTTGAGCACGTTTCTTCGGGACCTACTTGTCTTAGAGTTACCTCTATGCTACTACTGTGCAGGTTCATGTGTGTGTGTGGCGGAAGAGTTGTCAGCAGATCTGCTGCTGAATGATGTTGGCAGTAAAATTTTCGTTGGTTGTCTTGTTTCAAGCGATGTGGCCCTTGCAGCATCAACTACGTAGATGCACGCTTCAAAGTGTTTACTCAAACGTGTGAAAAGCTTATTCTTAATACATCAGACAGTGGTAACACAGACAAACAGACGTAACTCTTCATTGTGTATCTTCGTTCACGCATTTAGCGGTTGATTTGAATATTATCAGTTTCGCGAACTACTCGCCGCAGCGCTGGCATCGGATCACTTTGACGTTTCTATACATTCTATAGAACTTTCATGCAATATTGTTTGCGAGTTAGGCAGCAAGCTTGTTTTCCGTGAGAAGCCTGAGAGATGTCGTTACTGAGGTCCTATGTTTTGAGATACTATGTTTTCAAGAAAAACTTTTTCAAAGAGTTACGTCTGTTTGTCTGTGGTGGTAACATAGTATCCAAAATTAATACGTAACATAGCTCAGGTGTCGAACAGGTGTGGGTGGCTGTTACCCTACCGTTGAAAGTGGTCTTCATTTGCGTGTTGTATTTACTGATTCTTCTGTATTCTTCTATTTATTCTGAGTTGATCGATCAACACATTGATTCACTTTTTTGGGATGTATCCAAGATGATGCGACTGACGAAATCCTTGTTGGTGATTTCAATCTTCGTTCAGTCAACTGGTCATCGAATGAAACAGGGTTCTTTCATCCTCGCTCTAATGACTCATACATTACACCTCTAGTAGCATCTCTCCTAGATTGCTACAATAGTGCTGATCTTCTGCAACGGAACGGGTTCTCCAATGAAAATCATAGACTGCTTAATCTATGTTTCCTTAGCCGTGAACTCGCCTCTAATTACTCGGTTCCCGGGCACCCGAACCACTAGTTAAACGTTGTAGACACCATTCACCTCTGCAGTTATCATTACACTTATATCAGGCTTGCACTTTTCGGGTTACCGTGGACAGCGTATCGTATGACTACCGTAGGACTGACTACGAGGGAATGGCAACCTTTTTCGAAAACATCAGCTGGGACGATGAACTCCGAGATCGTGACGCGAATGCTGCCTCTTCTATTTTCTCGAACATTGTCGTGTATGCGATCGACCAGTTTGTATCAATGACAAACTCCACCCATATCTAGTAACCCTCCTTGGACCAACCACCGACTCAAGCGACTGAAGTCATCCAAACGAGCTGCCTTGAAGACATTTTGTAAACTTCGAACGGATGCATAGAAGAGGAAGTACAACGTGGTACAACCAACCGGTGGAAAGTAACGATTTTAAATTGGCTCACTACTTGACTAGCCTATTGGTCCCAAGCAAATCGATTAACGTACCTCATTCTAGTCGAAATTCTAGTACTACGCAATGTTTGTTTTGATTCGCTATGAAAGTTTGACAGATAAAATGAGGGGTTATTGGTTTTTCCCTGTTTTTCCTATTGTTGTTTTACATCAACAGGCTGGATGAAGCCCCAATGATTTTAACCTTATCAACTATGGTAAAAAAATTACATTCAAGCATGGTCATAACATAAAAAAAAAACATTAGAAAACGTATATCTTATAGTCAATATCTTAATTCCTGCTGGCGAAAAACAGAAGAAAACTTTCGACGAAGCGCATCACGGGAGAGATGAAAGTCGAAAACAGATGCAACTCTGTTGAATGTTCTCTGCAGTCCGCAAATCGCACCGTACGCTCCATAATTTGTGCGACGTAGAGGCAGTCTTAGCATAAGGTTATTACGAAGCGGTCGGGGTTGAACATTCAGGTCAATTTGCCTCACAATCTGTCCTTACTTGTAGGATATCGGCCACGGTTAGGGCTCTGCTTGTGTCTCTTCTAGTCCGGAGAAGTTCTAGGTCGATAAGTTGACAACGGCTTTCGTAACTTGGTAATCGAAACGGATCATTCCAAGGCAATCTACGCAACGCAAAACGAAGAAAGCGACGTTGAACAGATTCAATTCTCTCGGCACCGTTGTTGTAGTTTGGGTTCCAAACCACTGAACAATACTCAAGCGTCGATCGAACAAGCGAACTATAGAGAGATTTTAGACAGTAGATATCAGTGAAGTTTTTAGCTATCCTAAAAATGAAACCTAAAGTTCTTAACACCTTATCAACAACATATGCAATGTGTTGCTTAAATGAAAGCTGCGAATCCAAGATCACACCCAAGTCTTTCACCTGATTCACGCGTTCGATTGTCGAGCCAAGCAGGTCATAGCTAAATATTATCGGTTGTTGTTTTCGTGAGAACGCAATAGCGGAGCATTTGGCTGGGTTCACTACCATTCTGTTTAACCTGCACCAACTAGCGAGTACATTCAGTTGACGTTGAAGAAAGTGACAGTCAGCAATGGAGCAGATTCGTAGGAAGATTTTGAGGTCATCTGCATATGATAACCGAGGAGCTTCGATGACCAGATGCACGTCGTTGAAGTACAGTATAAAAATTAACGGTCCCATGTGGCTTCCCTGAGGTATACCTGATGTGGCGAAGAAGCTAGCTGATCTGCAATCTCCTATGGCAACTTTTAGTTGCCGACCGGTAAGATATGATCGAAACCAACTCAGAAGATTATCGCATGCACCGAGCCTGCCGAGTTTAGCAATCGCAATAGCATGGTCCAACTTGTCGAATGCTGCGGATAGGTCTGAATAAATAACGTCCGTTTGAACCCGATCCGACATGCTTTCGGTTATATACGATGTGAGACACAGCAGATTGGTAGTTGTAGAGCGGCCGACAGTAAACCCATGTTGATCAGCACTCAAATACTGCTTGCAATGGGACAGCAACGGTTCCATAATCACTAGCTCGAATAGCTTCGAAACGGCACTTAACGATGTAATTCCTCGATAGTTATCCACAGCTTTTTTCCTTCCTTTTTTGTGGACGGGAAACATGTGCGCAAACTTTCAGCAAGATGGAAAAATGCCACCTGTGAGAGACATTTGGAACAGGTGAAGAAGCGGAATTAACAAGCTAGCAATGTGTCTCTTCAAAAATACAGATGGAACTCCATCAGGTCCAGGATTGAAGAATGACTTGAGCAGAGTCGCGGCCTTAGAAATCATTTCTGCATTAACATCAATTGCGACCAGCGTTTGATCGTTTACTGGAACGTTCCTGGCAGCCAGGTTAATATGGTCGTCAGTTAGTGTCTCATTAATGAATACACTGGCAAACTTTTCGGAAAAAAGGTGGCATATATCCTGAACAGTGGCAGTAACTTCTCCGTTGAATTCCATAGACGATTTGAGGCCGGATTCCCTGCGTTGCTCGTTCACGTAGTTCCAAATTCGGGTGTAGCTTAAGTTTGCGCTGGATGCCTCGTTGGAAACTTGAAAAGCATTCACGACTGACTCGCTGGTACATGTGATTCAGCCTCACATAATGTAGTTTCAGAGGAAGCGTGCGATACTTCGTAAATCTTCTCAATGCTGCTCTCTTGATTGACTTCAACCTACGTAGCTCTCTCGTCTGCCAGGGAGGGTGAGACACTTTGTGGTGAGTTCTTTTCGGGACGTGTCTGTCAATGACAGACACCATAGAGGTAACTCTAAGACCAGAAGGTCCCGAAGAAACGTGCTCAACTTTTTGCCTCAGCTCTGGTACTCTCTTCGGTCCCAAGCTAATCGATGCACCCCTCGAAAAATATGAAAATCCACGAACCCCTCATTTTATCTGTCAAACTTCCATAGCGAATAAAAACAATAAGTGTAGTACTAGGATTTCGACTAGAATGGGATACGTTAGTCGATTTGCTTGGGCCCAATAGGCTAGTCAAGTAGTGAGCCAATTTAAAATCGTTAGTTTCCACCGGTTGGTACAACCTCGTTAACAAACAGTATAAGCAGCTCAACAAACAGCTTTACAAACTAAACTCAAAGCAAATCCCAAGAGCTTCTGAAATCATGTGAACGATCAACGGAAGGAATCGGGCTTACCTTCTACAATGTACAATAGGGATCAAGAAGAATCAGATACGTAGGGAATCGCTGACCTGTTCATGTCACAATTTAGCAGTGTCTTCGTCAGGAAAATTTCAGCACTGCCCCTGACGAAATCTCTTACGCGGTTATTAAGAACTGTATTGGAGTACTGGCCGCACCTTTAGCATCCATCTTCAACCTCTCTTTGGGTTCTAGGATCTTTCCCGACTGCCGGATTTATGCCGAAGAGGTCGACCGCTACAAATCTCGTTCAATACACATCATCAATCATACGCGAGATGGAAAGAGGTCATCAAGTGGATGCTATCTACACCGATCTTTCTGCTGCTTTTGATAAAATTAATCACGAGATTGCAGTGGCCAAACTAGAGCGACTTGGTTTTTACGGTTCCCTTCTTGATTGGCTTCGCTCATACCTCACCGGTCGACATATGTCAGTGATGATTGGAGATCATTTTTCTCAACCGTTCGCTGTTTCTTCTGGTGTACCTCAAGGCAGTTATCTGGGACCGTTCATATTTTTATTGTATCTGAATGACGTTCATTTTTCGATCCGTTGCCTGAAGCTGGCTTGTGCTGACGATTTCAAACTATACTTTGTCATCAAAGATCGAAGTGATGCATTGTTTCTTCAGCAGCAGCTGGACGTTTTTACTTTTTGGTGTGACAAGAGCAGGATGGATTCTCAAAAATAACCAAATATCATTCACCGTAATTTAAGTTCATTTATTTCAATGCGTCAAACCTACCAAGTCGATGTTTGCATTATAAACTATAAAACCTGTTTATGCAACCAAAAACAAAGAAACCACTAAATTATCAGATTTGAGCTTACATATTCAATATTTTCCGAAAAGCTACTCTCTGTTGCTTGCTGGACAATAAAACAGGATTCCACAAAACATTTCTCTTGAAGAAAATTCTATGGATTTTAACGTAATACGGTTTGTAAGATAAGAAATTTAGACTTTTCACCGGTCGTGATAATTGAAAACTGCGGGGTTCACGCAAGGCTGGTAGTCAACTAATTGTTATAACCGGAACATAGAAGACTCGAAACGAAATTGGATCCTCTGCCTGCGTTCTAAGACACGCTCCTTCCTTTTTTACTAAATTGCACCCTTTTTGGGGTTCTAACGCACATTCACGCGTTCATCCAGCCGCTCACACATCGCACACATTCCCGAACCATGAATTCGTTAGTTTAGTTTAGATAAGCTTCTTGGCGATGAAGTACCTTCTCAGGTACAGAACCTGCCACGTGGCCAAACCGAGCAGGCAGCACATACTAAAGATGCTGAAGAACAACACACGACTGTTGGTACTCTCTGCAAGGTGAAAAGAAACGGGAGTTTGAATTGTTTTTTTTTTTTTTTAGCGATAGAAAGTGCATAAATACCGTTGGTGTCACGCATCTCTTCTTCGCGCTTTCGCATCAGGGCAAAGTCCTGCACGATGGCATCGGACAGGTCCTCCAAACGCTTGAGATCAACTTCGAGGGGTTTCAGTTTTGCGGCTTCGCCAATCTGAAAATGAGTCATTGTTAAAATTTCGTAGAAGATGAAGCAAAGCTTGGCAATTTTAGCACTAACTAAAAAAAAAATCAGCATTTGTTATAGTAAAACAGATTCTACGGGGAAGTTTGCAAGCTGTGGATTTTTAGCAAGACAAACAAATCAAATGGTGTTTTTATATATTGATAAACAACTGAATGATTCGGAACATATAGTTCGTAAGCAAGCCAATGCAAAAGCACAAAGGCAATATACTGACATAATTGTAAATAAATTTTAATGATTGGATGCCCGCGATACTTCTTACGAGCCATTTCTCATGTTTATATTAAATCACATGTTCGAATGTCGAAAGCAAATTGATGAAGAGTTGGTACAAACACATAAACAACAAATTGTTCTATTATGAAAATGTGGGTGTAGGAAAAGGTAAAGGACACTGTTAAAACAAAAAAGTCACACTTCAGTATTAATCATATAAAAATCACATGTCAACTTGTGTACCTAAACTATATTTAACCAATTAACTAAGTTCAGGTAAACAAGTGGAGAGAGAGCTACAAAACAAGCAATTTTTTTTCACTACAACGGAACTGTAACTCTAACTTACGGCGCTCATGAACTGTGTAGTAACGAATACAAACGATATCAACAGCAAGACACCAATATTTATCATCAAGTTCATGTTTGATAAAAAGTAACGAACACCCGAATGGTGGTTATAATTTCGATTCCAAAGGAAAGAAAAGAAGAAACTAGATAAGCATCTCAGAACGATTGCTAGTCAATATAGTGCTGAATTGAGTAACGCGTACTTACACCTTCGTAGCTCTTAGTTTCAATACCCTTCTTGATATCTAGGGCGACGTCCTGTTCAATGCCACGATGCGCTAAAATTGAGCTTAAATTAAGCAATATCCAAAAAAAATCAAACCCAGCTTGATCAACATACTTGGCGGAACCTGGGAAATGAAGCAAATTTCAAATGTGTCGTACATCTCCGACGTGAATGTGAATTTCCCTTTACTAATGTCTTCCTTCTGAGACATTATGTGGCCTTTACTATCTCGAACCTGCAAGCAAAAGAAAAAAACCGAACATTTTTCTCATCCATAGCAGCAATCAAATCGACCCGGGAAACTTACCACATAGTTGATTTTTTGTCCCGGTGCACCGGTGACTTCGTACTCGCCGGCCACTATCTGATTGCCTTGCATATCATCCTTTAGACACTTTTGCATATTTGGTGCCAGGCGGAACATGATTGCCTCCGTCTGCAGAACGACGATCAACAGCAACAGAAAACCAAACAGAAATCGTTTCATTTTGACGATGGATGTTGATTCCTACTGTAGGACACTAAACGGGCAAACGGTGGCCGTATCCGGGACTATAAATCTTCCACAAAAGTGCGAAATTTCGTTAGCAAACCAGGAAAAAATGAAAGTTTTCCTCTTCCAGCTTACGAAGTTGCTTTCCTCTTTTGACTTGACAGACACACGAAAGCAAAGCCGAGATGAGCTGGCCATCGGAGTTTATGACGCGGCGCGTTAACTAGTGTCAAATTGCAGACTGACCGGTTACCAATGTAACTGATATAGACGTTACCAATTCTAGAGTAACATGTCAGAAGGGCCTATCTCGAAAAAAGATGTAGAAAATTTCTTTCACACAGAATCACTATCCGTTTGAGAATGCTGCGGATTTCCAAAGCAACAGCTTACCGGCTGACTTGATTGGCGAGGTTATCGATAAGACGCGTGGCTGTTGGTCATTTCAACGGCCTTGTTCAACAAGCCCCGTTCAAGAAGTTATTAGTGTTGGCTACCCTAATAAAAATTGTATGGTTAATTTGCTTAACGACGTGTTCTGGGTATCATCCAAACCATTTGTGGAATAGTTCAATGATTTGGGTTATCGTTCGTTTATGGTTATTTTTTATTAGGGTAGTGATTCGATGGAGGTGCGATGCGGCTGAACTTGATTTACTCGGTACCATGTCCGGTAGTGAACCGGATTCGAACGCGAGCGGTTTTGTACGACGCAAGGATCAGAACAATTTGCATTTAAATATCTTTATTTATTTTTATGTTGATAGGTACACAGCAAAAAAAAATGTAATATCGATCAATGTAATTCAAGCTGATGTATGAAATAATGATGTAATAGCAAAAAGCAGATACAATATAACATCAATGCAGGCATAACATTTGATAACGGCACAAAAGCATTTGTAAACAAACTTTCTAAAGCTCTTTACACGCGAACCAAAGTACGCCCACGCAAACCAACAACATCATCGGATAAGAGCAACTATCACCTTTCCGAAAGTGGTATTGGTTTGCGTGGGCGTACTTTGGTTCGCGTGTAAAGGGCCTTAGAAAGTTTGTTTACAAATGCTTTTGTGCCGTTATCAAATGTTATGCCTGAATGGATGAAATTTTGTTCGCAAAATCGATGTACATCGTACAACGTTATATTACACAACCCATGGATTGAAGCAGTTTGGATGTAATATTCAACAACTTTTTTTTTCTGTTTATAGTACCAGGAAAATAAAGTATTTTTTGCATCATTTTTGATTTGCATTAAAAAAAAACAATAGCAAACGAAACTGACAGAAAAAGCATACAAATAAAATATCGGTTATGCATCGAATAAATACATTCACTTTATTCTATCTCTGTATAAACAATGTTTGTAATAAATTCGTATTCTCTTACTTTATACCAAGCTAGGCGTCGGTTAGGAGAGTTGCGATTTAGCGTAACTTTTAATCTATTTATATTTGAAAATCTTTTGAATATACAATGGCCAGCTCCTTGCATGTTCTTTAACCACGTTCAGTTCCTTCCGCTTGTTTTTATATATGGCAAACTGAACTAGACACAAGGGCGATAGTTTTTATCACCGGAGGCTCCTTCAAATTTAACGGTTATCGAGTTCAATAAATGCGTAATGTCTTCCAATTCTTCATAACCTAAAGTACTGTTTTAGATTTGTTATCGTACATATTACGACATATTTTACAACTATTAAAACAATCCCAATTAGAATAACGCTGCTTGCGTTGACCGATGAACTCAGTCCGCTCTTTTGCTTGGTTTATCGTCTTAACACATCGTTGTTGGCTGGGCATGCTCATCACCAGCAGTTTGATTCGCTGCCACAATGTATCTACTCAACCTGTTCTTGCTAACTGTGGCTGCTAACGTTTGCTGTACTCGAATGTCACTGGTTGTTCGGCATAATCGCCATAAAAATCTTCCATCGACTTTTAAGGGACAGCTTGAATTTCGTTTTGTTCACGTGCTATACGAAAACGCATTTGCAGTTCCATCGCCGAAATGTCTTTTCGAGTGAGTATTGCTACTAGCCCTTCCAACTTCAGACTGTTTTTATGTGGGGAAAGAACACATTACGTAAGTTGATCGACAGTTTAATATTTTACACTTTTGGAATATAAAGGATAATATCTGAATTTTTTAAAATAGTACGTATAACACTGTTCTTATGTTATGTAGTTTTATAATTCGAATAGATTATTAGTTTCCTTTTTTTCACTGATTCTTAAGGCCCACGCACATTAGATCTGGATCGGACGCATTGCGGCAAAGTGACAGCTAAATCTATTGTCTAACTGTCAAATTTACGTCAACGCAAGGCAAACGGATCTAATGTGCGTGGCCCTTTACATCGAGGCTCATCAGTGAAACCCTAAGAGAAGAGGTTTACGGGGGCGAAAATGAACCACTTTTCTGTCAAACGTGAACCAGCTCCTGATTGGCCGATTTCATGTGCGTAAGATTAAGATAGAGATAGATAAAGATAAAGATAGAGATAGAAATAAAAGAGGAAGAAGCCAATTGTCACCTTCCTCTTAGGTGAAACCTGGAAAGCACGTCAACTTTACTTTAACAATCAGGTTGCTATGTGTGTGACCAGGTCACACTGGACACACTAAAGACCCAGATTTTGTGGGAATCCCAGCGCAGGTGTACACAGGTTATCCAAACCGAACTACCGGACAATAAACACCCGTCCCGGGAGTCGCGTGATAACGAAGAAAAATAACAACCGCGGACTACGTTCTAGGCGCGTCTTTATTTACAAGTTACAATGGACTAGTCAACAAACATAAATTGTACACACATCAGCAATTTATGCTTCGTCAGTCTCTCACTCTCACGCACTCATACACACTCATACTGGCAGCTGTCATCAACGTTCCCGGGAGCTGGTATAGACACGCATCCAGGGGCTTTCACTACATACTTCCAACAGATTTTACTCATGATCGCAAGCTGTCTTACCCCCAGCTGTGCCTAATTCGTAAGAATGTAAAATTTATTCTTAATATTTTAAGAATCGTACCACAGAGATAAATAATGCATAAACTGTTTTGGTGTAAAAATGCACTCGTTCCCCCCAAGAGCATCCTGGTGGCTCAGAGAGCGGCCAATGTGGTCAATGATCCATTTAAAGCCTATCGAAAACCTATTCATGAAAACCCACGAAGAATGAGCTGTCGCCAGTGCTGAGATTTGTCATTGTCATTGACAGACTTTCACGCGATATTGACAAAATTGGCTTTCTCATAGTCACTGACAGACTTGATCCTAAGAAAACCTTCGTCAAAATCTCATTTATTTTTTTTATCAATGACAAAGATTCACCCGGTAGCTAAAAGTGTAATTTCGAGCATTGTGTGTAACATTATTGTTATCCAAGCAGTTCAGGAAGTAGATGCTTGTTCACTTTAACGGCTCTATGTAGTTGTGGTGCTTAAGTCATTTAATTTCGTTACAAATTTAATTAATAAAAAACAACAAGGGACAGCCCTATGGGGTTGTACGCAATGGTGACGTAGGACTACGTGGTCTTATATAATAAATCTTATTTGTTAACTACAGCATGAGCTTCTGTTTTGTGTAGGAATAGGAATTTGAGCGGGGTTCTCTCGCTGGCAATTGGAGATAATTTTAATTATCATAGCAACAGTTGCACATTCGTGCAATTTTCAATAGTGATATTTTTAAAAATAATAAGGTCTTAAATTAGATGCGTATTTCAGCTGAGTTATTAACGTTCAAAATCTTTGATAATTTTGCTACATGTTCCAATTTCGGTTTTCACAAAGTATAGGAGGAGAAGGGGCATAGTGAGCATCCCGCAGTTTGGCTATGGATCTCCAGCTGCATGAAACAAATCAACTGGTAGTAGATTCAATATCATTATGATATTGATCCTACCACCAACCAGTTGGTTCCAAACGGCCGGAAGTCCAAGATGGTGCACGGGATGCTCACTATGCCCCACCTGTTCACTACACACTTAATCTAGCTCGGTAAAATCTCCAACAGCAGATTACCTCGGCATTTACTTTTGCTGATATCTCTACAAAATATCTTTTTGTTAGCTGATATTTCAGCAAATAGTTATTTGTTAGCTGTGCCTCGGCAATTGTTTTACTGAATCTCAGCCAAATAAATTGCAGAACTGCTCGGCTGTTGGAATCTCGGCGAAAAAATTTAAGTGTGTATGACCCTCTTTACCCCTACACACTTAGAATTTTTTGCCGAGATGGGCACCACCGAGCAGCTCGGCATTTTATTTTGCTGGAAATTCAGCAAAAAATATGTTTGTTAGCTGAGATCTCGGCAAATTTCTCGTTTGTTAGCTGAATCTCGGCAAGTTTTTCACTGAGATCCAGTAAAATAAAATGCCGAGCTGTTCGGTGGTGCCCATCTCGGCGAAAAAATCTAAGTGTGTACCCCCATATAGAAATAACAGACGTAGTCCTGTTGGGCAGAGACAGGTTTCGGATCGTTCGAAAGAAAACACGCAGTTTGTCATGAAAATACGGATTATTATAAACGTTTTGATAAAAAAAAAAACGCGAACACATTTTCATAATTTCGAGAATATAAAAGAAAATGTCAACAAAAGAAAATGCACTGAACAAAATCACTCCATGGTTTTCAAACATAAAAAACAACTGATATGATCTGTGTTGCCATACAACAACACTCCTCCTCACGCATATCATTGCTTCAGTTCATGACATCAAGGCCACACAGCTTTCTCAACGCGCCAAGCCGGATTCTTGAGAGCGGTTTCGTTAAAAGATCAGCTCGCATTATCTCACTCGGGCAGTATTGATACTCCATCACTCCAGCTTGTTTCAAATCCTTGATGAAATAATATTTGGTATCTATATGCTTAGTGCGATTGCTGAACTTGTCACATTCCAGCATCCGCAGGCAGCTTTTGTTATCGTCGTTCATCCGAATGGTTGTCACGTTCTCTCCCAAGTCAACCAGTAATCGCTTAAGCCATAGTGCTTCCAGCGAAGCTTCTGAAAGAGCTACAAACTCGGCTTCAGCTGTCGAAAGCGAAACGCAAAACTGTTTGCGGCACGCCCAAGAAATTGTTCCGTCACTGTACTAAAATACGAAGCCACTATTCGATTTTCGACCATCACGACACTCCACCCAGTCGTCATCCATGTTACT